GCCACAGATTATGTACTAAAGACAGGTATGAAGGTTTTCGAAGACAGACGAGTGACGAACTGGAGTTCACTTTGTGAAATTTTAATTATATTTTTGCAACAACTTCTTTAACACCAAATTATATTTTTTGTTCAAAATCAGTTTTTCGTTTTACAAATCTAAACAGCTTAAATCAAACAAAAAACGCTAAAAAGTACTAGACATGTCTATCAGTGACATATTAGTTGACGACGAGTATTGTATTCTTGGTTATAAACAAAAAATTCTTTGCAATTCGGCCAACAAACTTTCATATCAACAAATACTAACTACTGACTGAGTCGAATGTTTTCACGCCTATCAGGGAACCAATCTTGCGTAACATTGTGAAGTTGAGCCAAAAATTTCTAGACTATATCAAACACTTGGAAAATTTAACGCTTTATCTAGTAGTAGCAGTCTTCGGGGGATTGAAATTATGCCAGTTAAATTTTTCCAAATCTTGGCGGGAAAGTTGGATACACGCTTTCACAACAAACCGGCTGTTCATGAGTCCTACCAAAAGTTAATTGGTAAGGATTTGTTTGTTAGCGAATTCTTTATTAGTATATTCTTCCCATTCTTTTTCCTTCAACGCTTATCGTGAAGATCAAGCTTTGTTGGATTTGTAATTAAAGGTGGCTGGTGGAAACATTAAGTAACTCTTTACCTTATTTCCCTTTTTATGTTGCACTTTGACAGATGCTCTCTGGAATGGTCATTTTTCCTTTTGTTGGCCGAACCACTTCTTAAATCATTGAAATTTAACGTACCTATTACCAGACTTAGGCTCCTCTGCCAGTAACTTCTACTTTTTATGGTTGGAGTTTCCAACTTCACTTTACACGACTGCACAATTTCAGAACCGTGTTTGCACCGTTGCCTTTCAAAAATCTGGCTAAACTACAATTTTAACTTTCAAGTTCCTTAAAACTGATATTCTGGTGAGGTGCAGATCAGCAAGTGTTTGGGATTCTGCAACTGTAAGCTCTGAGGCTCATTCACGTTTCGTTGTGCACTCCGTTATTCTGCCAGCAGAAGGGCAGTTTTTAAGGAAACTCACTTTTTTGAACCCTGTGGTTAGGAAGCGTGTACACTTGGTCGAAAATTTAAGTCCTTGCATTTATCATTGACTGACAGGCCGGATGTCAGATTTACCAACGGCGCGCGGCCACCTATTTAGCTCGTTGTCTGTATGGTGCATATGAGGGTCGTAAAGTGTAGTGACGCCCATAGTAGTTCATCGGAATGTCGGTTTTATTGAATGCAAGTAGGAGCTGAAGTTAAATTTCGACTCTCAGACCTTAAAAATTAAGAAAGGCACTTTTCTAGTGCCCGTGTACTATGTTTTCTGTAAGTAATTGCAGGGCACAGCAAAGGAAAAAAGGAGGTTTGTTGTTCATGCATAGTGCGGCAGAGTTGGGGTATCTGTCAATTTAAGCTTAAGAATTTAGAATTAGTAAATGCGTCCACATATGGGTCAAAAGTAGCGGTACTAAACTGGAAAAGTTTCGAAAGAAGTAAATATAGCCTGAAATTGCAAGAACTGAGTAGATTGCTGTTGGGGACTTTATATATGATAGATGAGAACAAGTTATTAATACAAAAACAATTTTTCCTGAAGCTAAGAGGTTATACGAACAGTGAATTTCCCTTTGAATTCATTCCTTTATTAGTACAGTATGCCGATGAAATGACAATTATTTTGCTTTTTTGTTTAATTTCAGCATGGAAAGAAAATTTTTGAAACCGAATGCGTTTGCCCCAGTACCCCTCAGCGAAAATTTTTGGAGAGTATTGGTCTCTACCGGGGATGACGAGTCTTCGCCGGCAGTAGGTAGCTCACAAGCAGCAATTCGCGCTGACAACGTAGAGGCTGAAGTGCGACGAGTTTTGCACGAGAAAAGAAATGTCGTTGACGATGCAGTGTTGAAACAGGTTAAATTTTGTTATTTTCTTGGTTTTTTTGAGATTCATTGGAATTTAGAATTTTTTGGGACTTATACTTTTTATGTATTGCTGAGTGTTTGCTGCAGATTCGTTTTACTGCCTCGAATAGTTAGAGGGCTGTCCGTCTAATGCACATCAAAATATAATTTTTCTCTCTTTTGCTGAAGAAGGGTTTTAAACAAGTGCTCCATTTTTGATTTTATCAAGTGATTTTTTTCTTTTAGGTTGCTCCTACCGCTACAAATGTAGTCGGCAATCAGTACGAAAACTTGATTGAGCTTAGCTTTGATCAGGAGAAACTTATTCAAGAGGAAGAGGAGAGGAGAAGGCGGCAACGAGAAAAAATCGTGAATAGGATTCTTACATGAAAATTTTTTATTGATTGATCTGTATATAACAAACTGCAAAGAAATTGTATAATATAAAATAATTATTTTTTAGACTAATGTTTTTCTTTGTTTGTGATCCTGATGGCGGAGAATGCTGTAGTCAGACTGTTAAATAGTAAGCTGTAGTCAGACTGTTACAGTTATTTGAGTTAGGCCAGAGGCTGCTTTATGATTCGGGGGTTAAAAAGTATAGGGGGCAGAAGGTAGGCCTTTTTTTGAGATGCGGAGATTTTAGGAAATTATCTTAAATTCTCTCAACGATTCTTCAGGTATGTTTTGCTTCGGTAGTTTTAAAATTTATACAGTACTTTTTTGGAAGCTGCTGAGCAGAGTCGTTAGTGGAAGACTTCTGGTTATTTTGTAATTTTGTAATATTTTAAGGCACTGTTGATGATCATGTTAGTATCACCAACCTGATGTTTAGTTTATACTTTCTTGAATCGTTTTAAAAGGATGTACTTATTCTGCTTTTACGGTAGTAGGTTTGAAAATCTTTGTGGAACTCTTACGTAAAAGTAAGGTCTTTTTAATATACATGTTGTGTTTTGGATGATAAGTGCAGTCACATCGTTTCTTTCTTTCAAGTTTCACTCGTTTGAATAACATTTTTTTTCTGCTTTACTACGCATTCATTTCAGTACTAGATAGCTTTGCAACTGGTGTCGTGAAAATCTGTGTAGGGAACGGTTAGAGACTGCCTTGTTTTTTGAGTAAAACGTTCTCTTAAGTTTGCCATCGGTACCTGATCGACGAGTTCTATTTTGTAGTATCAGATTCTCGAGGAATGGGAGCGGGTGTTCTTTTTTTGTCGTCAAGGTTTTATGTTGCTGAAGTAGTCTGCTTCAGAAAAACGTGGATGTCTGGACTAAGTGGGGTGAAGTTAGTGGATACGACTGGAGTTTATCAAAACATTTGTCTTAAGTGCTGGTGCGAAACTATTCTTACCGAAGTGATGTTAAGATTAGGACGGTGCTGTTGCACAAAGTAAAGGTAACTTTGACAAGGAGCCGCTGGGAGGTGCATGTTTCAGAGGTATCAGAACAAACCAGAAGTTGGTGTTGTAGCTGTCTTTCATCGTGACTAGTTACTACCATTGTTTCCGTTGGTTTTCAGCTGTGACGGTTGGACACATCCGTTTGTGAATGCATTTGTGGATTTGGGAATTTACTGCTATTAGATATGATCATTTTTGTGGTTTGGGCTTTGAAAAGAAAAAGATAAAAGTGGTTTCCTTTCAACAAGAGGTAGATCTTCTGGGAGCAGTTGAATGTGGTGGTTGGAGTGGTTGAGTTGAAGGCAGCTTGTTTTAAGAAAATGACTAGTTTTGTGTTTGGCTGATGCTTTTGTTGAGAGAAGTGGAAGTCTACCGAATATAGTTGAGAAGATCGAATGCTTTTAAACGGTTCATAAGCGCGACAGTTACTGTCGGACAGTTACCTGCTGACCAGGAAGTGGCACTGTGATTAGGCCAGAAGTTACACCTTCGATTCATTTTGTTTATTTGTTTATTAAAAATAAAATTGCATATCTTAGTTTACACTGGTAAGTAGTTGTTCGGTAGTGGTTTGTGTTGTATTGTATCGCCGTTCCGGTGATACGTACAGTTTTTAATATGTGTGACTGAATTTGTATTTTTACCTTATCTGTCTGCCTACAGTTCCTGTTGCTAATTAGTTATTACGTTTGGTAGAAGATTTTTAGCACAAATTTTAAATTAGGGACTTTTTCTGGTATTTGTTCACTGACTAGAACATCTTCAGTGAGTTTTGGATCTTTGCCGTTCTGTATCTGTTTGCAATCTTAAAATACTGACCTTTGGCAAACTTTTTTCCAGTATTATTGGTAAAAACTATAAAAAATTGTTGGCATTTTTAAACCAAAGACTTGATTAATAATTCAGGCTGGAATAAATCTGGAGGAGTTAATGTCAATTTTTACCACTTATTTTTCTATACTTTTTAATTACAACATTGTTATATGCGCCTTTCAGAAGCCAATCAAAATTGCTCATAGGCGCAGTATAACCGTAGAATTTTACCTTGCTTTTTTTTGAGAGGTTTAGGAAAATGACTCGAACAGACTTCTTGTTGAAATTCATATTTTATGTAAGTACAACAGTGCTTTCCAATCTTTTTGTTCTTTAGGAATTTGAATTTGCTGTAATGATAAATTTTTTTTCGAACTTTTTTGACTGCAGTTTATCCACATTGTTGGTTGTTTTCAACAGTCCTTCAAAATTTGGGTAGTCGCCTTGAATGTTATGGCATATTTAGATAGAACAACACATCATTTTTTGAAAATAATGCGTTGTTCTATTAATGCGGTTTGCAACTTTTTCCCAGCAAAATTTTTTGTTTTCAAATTTACATTGTTGGTGTTCTTACGTTGTCAACTGTCCTGCAGTATTTTACTATATACAGTGGGAATAATGGTTGAGAAGAAATTTTCATAACAGTTATGTTTACTGAGTAAAATTTTTCCTAAAAATGAGCCATTAGGCTGAGAGAGGCGGCAGTGACATTAGAACGATCAACGAGTGCAGTATCAACATGGTAGTATTGAATTCTCCTAAAACTAGAAACATGAAATTTACTTGAGTATACCCACCCACGATGAACTGCTTTTTAAATTGGCTGTATTTGTTCAAAAAAAAAAAATTTTTGTTGATTTTTAATGGTTTAGCAAACGTATTCAAGATTTAAAAATTTTTTGCTCCTTGAATTCCTATCTGATTGTTTTAATGTCAAATGCTTGACAGTATATGCCTTATTCTTCACATGTATCTTCAGTAAGATCTATATATTGGGTGGTTTTAAAAAGTTTATGATTATAAAAAACATATTTGTTTTAGGTGGTTAGCAATTTTGCCGGGATGATATAATTGATTGATTTGATAGTTTTGTAGCTTATAATCTTTCTAGTTTCATTTTAAACAATAGTTTATTTCACTTGGTTTTTCTAGTACAGTTGCAGCCTGCTTGATTATAGATCTCCTGCATCAGTATCCGTGGAAGCATTTATTTTTTGGTTCTTTTTCATCGACTTAATAACTTAAGAAGTTTGCCATAGCGTTTCTGTTGAACCGACATCTTGGATACTATTCATTGCTTTCACTGGAAAAAACTGTTCCGACATATTGCCAGGGGAAACCAGAAGTTTGAAAATTTGAGGCCGTAGTTTTAAATTGCAATTAGGATCAAGCCAATTGGGGGACTCTAAATATGGAAGGAATTGGATGAAATTTAATGTTCTTAAGAAATTTCAAAGAGTCGCCAAAATAAGAAGCGAAAATATCATAATAGTTTGAAATAAGGGTGTTGTGCCAGAAAAATTTCAGTATTGTAGAATAAGAGGTAACTGTGTCCATAGAAGAACCTAACATTTTAGATAAAGAACCTTAAACGCAGACTGTTCTTAAATTTCCTGCTCTTTTTCATATTTGTCAGAATCATCTTTTTTTTTTTTTTTGATACTAAAAGTAAAGATAACGGCGTTGCCTTGGCGTATTAGTGCTTAAAACAGTATTAACAAATTTTGTTGTTGCATGCATATTAGCTATCCCAAATACGTAGTCAAAAAGCTGTTGTTCAGAATTTTTCGCATTGATCTCATTACCAATTGATACTTCCGATAGCGTATTAAATGGTAGTGAAAAAATGTTTAAATGTTCAATGCTTCAGTTACGATTTTTCTTGATTTGATCTTGACACTGCAGAACTCTGAGTGCTCTTCAAATTCAAATTTTTTTTGTTATATTTGGCTGGGCCTGATGATTCAGTGGACTGTCCGACAACCGGTACGGCAACAGAGTTTAATGGCAGCAAATAAGGCTTGTATGTTTTCAGTCATAGTTTTTTTTT